CATCTATCTTCAACTGTGGTGAAATTTTCCGACTCCTAGCTGATCGTGATCGTGAGCTGTTGTCAATGGCATTTTCATTAATTCACTCATATCTCTGTCAAAAAGGCGCATGGGCCCAAACCAACTTGGGATTTTTCACTGCTGACTATTTCCTACATGATGAAAATAGTCTGAGTCGAAAAGCTTTTAATCACCTCGAGAGGTTCCCTCGTAAGTTTATACATTTAGATATATAAAATGTTGTTGTTCGTCAATTTTTTTAATATCGGCGTGTTTTGTACTTTAGTAACGGCCAAAGAAATTTATCGTGCTATTAATAACAACTGTTTGTCTAATAAAACGAACCGTATCTTATGTTTTATACGTCAGATAATTGATATCGATGATGTAGAACCGTCGAAATACGTTGAAAAAGAAGACGATGCACAAATCCTATTGAACGAATTAAAATCAATGATAAGAAGTACAATATCACCGAATAATATTAAAACATATCAGGTTATTATTTGTTGCAAAAGATATAACTCTTCGTGGCTGTCCTCACTTTGTAACACCATATCTGTCCTTGGTCCAGTTGGACCCACCTTAAGAAAATATTTTAAACCTAGCGGTTCTTTCTTTCGTTTAAGCATTTGATGCATGGATCGAAGACATTAATTACCCTCGGTCTGCACGTGGATATATCGACAAATATGTCAGTAATACATTAGCTCGGAGTTGAGAGAACATTTTGTAAAGAATTTTTACACCTCACCTTACGTCCAGATTGTTCTGGGCAAATATAGCATCGTTTCTTCGCTCGATTCGCATTCGTATTAACGTTGTGGTCCCTCTTTATATTCAGCTGGAGATCATAGTCGAGACATTGTAGAGCAAGTTTGACTTTCGGCATGAGACGCCGCGTTAAATATACTACATATAGTAAATTGGCACTTTGTTTAATTTAGGATACTGAGATAGTTTTCTTGTCTCACTTAACGAAAGAACCGGGCTTACGACTAGAAGAAGACGAGGGAAAAATTAAGTGATGACAATCCAACAAATGTCTTTTCTAAGAGAATCACCAGAACAATAAAGGGCAGCTCAAACCGGACTTTAAGTCATGACTATAACACCGTAGCTGTCCTGGGGTCCACGTGGACCCATACTCTAAAATTCTGCCCTTAAGATATATTGATAAAATTTAGATAGATTCTTGTGCATGAATATTAAACCAATGATTACAGAAGAAAGTGGCTTGAAAGGATTAATAGTGACATAGCAAGAAACAAAACATTGCAAAGTGGGTCCACGTGGATTCCACGATAGCTACGAACGGTTAATAGATCAATTCGAATTTTTGTTTAGGTCAAATTGAACGATGCACAAAATAGAGAGAATTATATTCAAGCGTTTCTGGACGATTTTTATCTTATGATAAAAGATCAAATTGATTACTCTATGCACGAACAACAAACTAGATCACAAAACGGCTCATTGTATGATGAAATTCTCGAACATGCCATACAATGTCAAATGTTGAACAAACGATTCCAACAAAGAAATGAAATTTTAGATAAGGTGTAAACGTATAGTGTCTGATGCTTAGTCCAAGATGGTCATCATTGTTGATATGTCATATTTTTAAGGTAAAAGATTATCTACTGGACTCAAGTACATCAAAACCATGTGTATTATATGGCGAATCTGGTTGTGGAAAATCATCAATTATGGCTAGATTAGTAACGGAGGTATTGTTTGTCGAACAGCTAACTTTGTACAATTGGACAGCTTGTCCAGCTAACGGTCCGCTTTTTTCGCTCGTTTTCCAAAACTATGGCACTAAAGCTACAAACTAATCTAAACTGGCAACTAGATAATTAAGTAAATTAAACGTTTCTCTACAAAATGAAAGGTGTCTCGGCTCTGAACGGTGATTTGTTATGAAACTACAGCTGTTGTACAAATAGTTCAAAAGATCGATTTAGGCGCTATCTGAAAAACGTATTTAATAGAGTGAAGACGAGCAGGAGAAGATTCAACAAGTATACTCAGTTTGTAGAAAATTGTTTACTCTACAAGATGCGATAGCTTTTTAAGTTCGAAACTATTCTAATTAATTTGTGTTAATCAAAGAAACACCGTGACGCTTTTAACCGTTTTTATGTTACAGCGTCGCGGTGTTTCTTTGATTAACACAAATTAATTAGAATAGTTTTGAACTTAAAAAGCTATCGCATCTTGTAGAGTAAACAATTTTCTACAAACTGGTATCTTCTCCTGCTCGTCTTCACTCTTTTAAATACGTTTTTCAGACAGCTCCTTAATCGATCTTTTGAGCTATTTGTACAACAGCTGTAGTTTCATAACAAATCACCGTTCAGAGGTGAGGCACTTTTCATTTTGTAGAGAAACGTTTAATTTACTTAATTATCTAGTTGCCAGTTTAGATTGGTTTGTAGCTTTAGTGCCATAGTTTTTGGACAACGAGCGAAATAAGGGGCCTTTAGCTGGGACTCCACTGGTGGGATAGAATCGAATTAAGTTCGTGAACTAGATCTAAATTACTACGGCTCAAAGTCTCAAATGCATGTGATTTAAGGTCACTTTTACTAGAGTATCGTCAAACTAAACTAAACTTTTTTTCTTCGGCGGACTTCTGAGAATCCGGTGAGACTATTCTGTTTCTTTTATTAAGAACTTCAGATAATGACTGCACCTATTTTTAAAACATATTGTTAGCGGACACGTAAGTAAATACTTTTAATTCTTTGTGAGCTCAAGTGCGTTGACGTAAAGTTCGAATATATCTCTTGTTTGTTAGGAAAATGGTTTTAAAATCTGAAAAAAAAAACAGATTACTTTCGTCAACCATCAACTGAATTTTACAACTAGGAAAGAGATTCGGGATGCTGTTTTATGTATTCAATAAACATTTACTTTTTTCAAGATTTCTAAATGGTATTCGAATTCCCCATCACAATCTGTTTCTGTTATTATTCGATTTCTTGGTACAACGCCCTCATCGTCCGATATCTCTAAGCCATTATCTAGTATCATTGAACAAATCTGTCAGCTTTATCAAATCCAAGTATCACCATCCAGCGCCGAATTAAAATATCAGTTAGAACAATTACTGACATTAATTCCTAAGTCTGAACAATTGGTACTGTTGCTCGATTCTGTTGATCAGTTAGATGTTGAACAATATGATTGTACGAAGTGGTTACCAGCGATATATCCCTCGAATGTTAAATGTGTTCTCTCAACAATACCAACAATCGAAGTAAATAGACAAACGTATGATATTCTTGATGGATTAAGAAAACTGATCGGCTTCGAGATCGAAATAACAGAACTCAATGAGATGCTAGCCATTCAAACACTTTATTCATGGTTGAAAACAGATCATCGTCAATTAACTCCAATTCAACATGAATGGATTCAACAGAAAATATTGCGAACACATACAATCACTCCGCTGTTTCTCTCATTACTCTATGATCAAACTCTCTTATGGCATTCCTATGACACTGAAATTGATAAAAAATTTCTAAAAATTAGACACACTATGGAGGCAATCGGTTATTTATATGATCAGATGGGTAATAAACATGGTCAAGTATTATTTCGTCGCTCTATGAGATATATTCAACTATTTGGCGGTTTAACGGAAAACGAGTTAGAAGACGTGCTTAGTTTAGATGATCAAGTGTTGCAATCAATATTTGTCCATTATTTACCACCACAAAATATATTTCGTCTCCCATCGACATTATGGTTACGAATACGAAATGATATGCAAAAGTATCTTGTTGAGAAGGATATAGATGGTTTACCGTGCCTCTACTTGTAAGTAATCTTTACTTCTTCATTTATCATATGTTCTAAAATAATCGAACATAATACGGAATAGATTAATTAATGCACCTGTTCGAAAAATGTCGAAGTAAACAGGTCGAAATATCCGAATGAAAGGGTTCAGAACAGATGCATTAATTAATCTGTTCTGTATTAAATTGTTGCTCATTACAGCTTCTAATGCCGAGCATCATAGTTTGTCAAGTTTTAGTTTCAGTTCAGGTACCGAGCTTTTGATTAGATTAGTGTTAACACGCCGTATTTTCGCCACGTTTTTGTCGATCTCGTTCAAACTTACATCGGACATGTAACCTACTAGATAAAAAAGTTGTAAATTCTTCACTCATAAATAAAATACCTCAGTATCATAAAATACTAGGTTTCAAACTGGAACTATTAAAGAAAATCTATAGAAAACTAGTTTTATGAGAGTTCTAAGTTACCTTATCGAGATACATCATTCTTAAAACCTTGGGCAAAATCGATTGAAACATTTTGAATCTCCTACCAGCATATGTTTTACAGATCACTAATACATCGTCGTGTAGCGGTAATGACATAGAGGACTTAGAGAAACTATATATCCAGAACTTTCACATACGACAGAGTTTGGTCACACTGGAATTAGGATGGTATTAAAAGATATTTCGGAGTGACATAGAAAATACACTGCATGCTTCGTCTCTTTTTAAACGGCAGCTTGTCCAGAAACGCGAAGTAACAGCAGAGTTCGTGAATGCTTCAACTCTACAGAATGATAGTTTATTGTAAATATCTCCTCCGGAGGGGTGAAATAGCATTTTTAATGCCAAAATGCTTCCAGCAATTGCCGGATTTGATACCAAAAATGCCTAAAATTGTCGTATTATCTTTGAACTCATTTCAGCAAGGAATAAAAATAAAAGCATTTTAATATTTTTGAGCCGTTCATTTTTTAAATTATTTTGATGAGTTCAAAGGTGTTGTAAATAACATTAGTGCCTCTGCGCTGCATTTCTTCTCAACTAGTTGAGTAGGTCAGAAACAGGGGTTGGATCGTTACCAGTACCGTTACTGTAACGGTAACGATTCAAGCGTTACCGTTACCGATAAGGAGTAACGGCCGTTACTTATAATGGTGAGGGTTTGACTGTAAAAATTTGACTTGGCACGTGAACATGTTACCTGTTACTAAGTAGTAAAAGTTACGCTTTAAGTGTTACCTTTACTAGTAATGGTAACGCAAAATCGTTACCGGAGTAACGAGTAATGGCCCACCTCCTAGTCAAAAACCTATGAGGCAATGTACTTTTATAACAAACTGCATCTCTTCTAGTTATCACCGAAGTTTTCAATTCTATGACTCATTTTTCGATATGCCTCGATTGATTGAAGAAAGGAAAGAACAAGTTGTGTTAGAACAAAATCGCATTGAATATTATGCTGACCAATTTTCTAAGCCTTATATTATCCAATCTCAAAAACTTGTTGAAAAATATAAACTCAACTCTAATATTCTCCACCCGAATCGATGCATAGCCAAACAACAGCCGCTTGTCGTTATTTCACGAAAGAAAAAAGTGCATTACAATCAACGTAAAATTCGTCAACTATGTCAAAATATTGCACGCTATGATTTCAGTCATAAGTATACAGTATACGATTATGATTTTATGTCAGCCTATCTTCATTTTCACAAATTAACAGATCTTCTGTATGAGTTTTCAATCGGGGCACTAGATCCCGATGGTGAACTGAATTTCTTGTTAAAACTATATGAGATGTTAGGAGATCAATATCCGGACAACTTTGCTTATGAAATAGCTTCTTATCTCTTCCCATTATCAGATGCACTTCCCGATAGTTTATTGAATTTATTACAACACTGCTTAAACAATTGCTCGTTATTATACAAAACACCCGTACTATGGTTTGAGAATTCCTTACAATTTCAACTGATTGGTGAACAAGTACATGCAATGCTAATCCGACCATTCAGTTTATTTGTATTAACCAATACGAGACTGATATGTTTTTCATCTCTGCACTATACATTAATATGCACTCAAACATATTATTTAAACGATATATACACAATGTTAAAACTCAATTACCCATTTATATGTGCCTATTCTGAGCGAGCATTTATTGTTTTTAACTTCGCCACTGCTAAAAAACAATGCGAATGTTTTCGACTCTCTGGAGCAGTAAATGTAATTGAATTTATCGATAAAAATGATTTCATCATCGTTTGCTACAAAAATAGTACTTTTGTGGAAATCTTGAAATGTGAAAATGGTGAACTGGTGTATAAACACGACTACAATATCAAAATTCTTCTCGTTCAAACGAATGTGACAAAAAAAAAGGATATTTTAGTTAAGGTTGTGCTCTCGAATAATCAAATTGATTATTCTTGGTTTAAAACTGATAACGGATTTACTCATATTCGACGCTTAGAAGTAATAGCGAATGACTATACCGAGCTACTCAATGCATTTATAGATTTTTCTTATAATAAAGAGAAAAATCAGCTGGCATTTTTCGATATCAACGATGGTGTAATTACCAATGTTATTTTACCACCGTCATCCATTTCGTTTTTTTCTAAACTTTATCCCTATGAAGTAGTTGCTTGCTTGACTTCAAATGCCGTTTACATCGTACACACAGCTTGCAACTATTTTGAAATCAAAGGCGAATACCATCGAATACAGTCAGCTTGTTCGGCTGAGGAATTCAGTGATGATCAATTTTTGTTATGCCTAAATGAACAAGTTCTTGATATCTATCAGTGGAAAAGCGAACAGAATTATTGCCTATTTGCGCGTATAAAAATGACTGACTCAACAGCCACAATTACAAATGTAGCATGTAAAATAGGTATGTAATGATAAATGCATGTTTTCCCTTCATACTGGAAAGTTTGATTGAAGATTGGTTTGATGGTGCAACCGTTTATTGTTCAACGAGCAATGGTGAACTGAGAAAATACAATGGAACGATGATGACATTTCCACCCATAACAACTCATGGAACCCCTTATCATTATGCTCAGATTAAATCAATCTCCAGCTTGGACATACAAGATGAGTATGCCATCACACTGGACGACACTAAACAGTACGTATGTCCTAACATCCCGCCTTACATACGAAATGATAGAACATTTACTACTCTATCATTAATGTCTAACAGAATTCCGACACCGAGAGATGAATGTGGCTACGTTCATGGAATAATTGAGAACACACTTTAATTGTCAAGCTCACATTTTATTTAAGATATAAAAAGAACACGCTAAATGAATCAGATAAGTATGACTTTTCACAATTAAGTGTCAAAACATTTGAAATAACTTACTGGTTTTGTTAACGGTATCACACTTACTACAGTATGTTTTGTGGAACTTCCTCACTGTCTTCGAAGAGAGAGTAACAGTTTACCATCCCCAAACCGCTGTCTTTAAGATAAATTTGGCTTCCCTTGCTCCCTTGGAGTACACAACCTGTTAAAATGGTAGTCACAACCTCTTAAAAGGCGCATAAACCTCTTAACGTGGTAGTCGCAATCTCTTAGAAAAATATGTTAAACAAAATTCAAAAAAAAAACATTCATATACTCCAGCTTACAGCCAAAGATAAATGTTTCGTTAGAAAAAAAATTTCATCCATGTTCTTTAAATTTCATTAGTATATTAAACTTTTATTTCAGTTTAGAACTTTTTTTAAGACTAGACGTCTCAGTACTGAGAGTTTCACCTTTTAGCACCTTTAAGTGCTATCCTGTCAATGTTTTTTTCCTGTTTGAATACATGCTTTCACGTGATAAAAGATTAATTCGCCGGCTTGAGTTGTTTACGATCACCTAGGCTAAGGAAGATTTTTGAATGTTTTCACCAAGTGCAGCTGACGCGTTTTTGTGCTGATTATGAGTAGCAATTTTACAACGAATAAAAGCTAAATTTTCAGTTCAAAAAGTAAATTTCAAGTTAGATCTGTTTTTTACTCTTAAAGAAAAAACGAGAAACATTGTGGAAAAAAGGCACACTGTTAAGCTAATACGGGTCCTCATACTCATGACAGTCAAACATAGATGTCGGGGTTTCAGAAGTTTTCTGTCTTTGACCAGTATTTCCCATCAGATCAAAGATTATTTTAATTATAATTTTGTTTCAGTCATCTCATCATCTGGTCATTCACTGATAAATTAGCAATTGTTAAAGAAATGGAATTACCGAACCCAATTACACAAATTTCTGTCCTTTTCCCGCACATTCTTCTTCTTGATTCTGAATGTAGCATTCATATTTATTCAATTTCTTCCTCCGAACAATGTACCGCTTTATTCCACACAACCCAATTTCGTCATGAGTTAGCAATGAAAATTTTTCCCTTCCGAAAATCGTATTACATCATTTGTGGTGATTCCTTGCAATTATTTCAAATCGATACAACATCAAGAGAATTAAAATTAAAATATCTAACTCAATTTAAGACTCAATTCAGGAAGAAACTACTATCAACATTGATGATTGAACCACAACCCGTATTAGTTTTATTATCGGACGATTGTAAAGAACTAGCAATATGGAATTTACAGGAACAACACGTTTCTATTATTTTTCTACAGCAAACGTTTGATATTCGACAAATTGAAACTGTTTACACTTGTCTTCTTTTGCGAGATCATCGAGAAAATTTATATTTATGGAGTATTCTTGATCAGACATTTCGACACCTTGGTTATGCACATGTACAAACCACGGCCATGAATCGATTGGTCATTTACAATAAGGAGAAGCTTATACTATATGACCTTGAGAAGAAACTAAAGGGTGAGATTCGCTTAGAGAACACCAAGTTTGATTCTATATCTCTGAATACAAATGGTGAATATTTATTTGCATTAAATCTTGAAGCATCGCTGTTGTTCATGTATCGTGTCAATGACGGTCAACACTTGGAAAAACTATTTATTAAGCATTTAACGCTCATTATAAAAGCGAATGACAATTACGTACTACTCAAATCGAATGAGAAACTATTGGTATTAGCAATTAAAGATAAAAATCGACCACAAAATATAAGAAACAGGTAAGTGGTATAAGTGGGTTTTGCAAAAACACCTCATACTAATGATTTTCACAATTTTATAGTAAATTCACACAAATTTGACGTGAAGTTATAAGGGGGATCCCCTCACCCTTTTTTTTCGTCAGTTTATAGAGGATACTTTGAAGAGTATTTCGTATGAGTTTTTCAGTTCCCGGACTTCTACCTTTTGAGGAAAAATTCAAAAAATATTTTTGTCAAAACCTAGAAGTGATGAATTAACAGCACACGTCCGCGTGCTCTAACCAAAATTGCTCACTGTGCGACACTATGTAAGACTTCCACGATCCTTCGGTATCGACAAAACTAGAGTTTGAAAATGTTCTAAGACTTCTGATATTCTCGACATTGAGAAACTGATAAAAAATACGGTGATCGGCGATGACTCATTCTGTTAGGCTTTTATGTGAAATTTCTTTGTTTTTGCTTTAGATTGAAAGTAAATGGTAACGAAACAATAAATGTGACATCAACTTTGTTCAAAAACAATGAATGGATGAATTGTCATCTAGCCAACTGTCGGTGGATTCCAACTATTTAAAAAAATCTATACGATTCGTTAACGCCTAAGGATAGGAAATGAAATATCTATCTCCAGTGTTTGTTCTTGGATTCGGAAATTGATGTAGAGCTCTGTACTTTCCGTTGGTGCTTAGCGTCTTCGAGTTTGCTTTTAGTTGATCATTGTCATAACTTGATTTTGTGGAATTATGCTTCGTGGATTATCACCAACAGAAACAAGATCATGAACAATATCTGCATTGTTAAAATAATCTAAACTCTCTCTCTCTCGTAACGTCCGTTTCGGCAGATCCGTATCCGATATTAAAATACGATGGCTCGAACTTCCCAGATTATTCATCTAACAAAGACGCCTCGTATCTTCAGACGTTTTTTTACTTGAAGCTACTGTCCATATTGCGAACACTTAATATTAATTAATTAGCTCAATACTAAACAAAACATTAAAAACATCAGCTTTTCTTTATTATCCATGGTGAAATCGGTGACATACTTTATTACTAAACTTGTCCCGCCCAGAATGTGGCGTTGCTGAAGTATTTGCCTTTTTTCGTTTGTTTGTTCAGTTTAACAAACACAAAAAATCTTTCACTGTCAATAAGGCTACTGTTTTCCTTTTCTATGGTTATGCTGTTATTTTACCTTTTAACTAATAAAAATCTTCATTGCAGTTATATTGAATATTTATTCTATTGTCATGTGTTGTTCTAGAGATTCATTATTAATGATCAACAATAAATTTTATTTCGAATTTGAAGTAAGAGAAAAAACTTGTCAGTTAGGAATCAAAAGGTGCACATTGGTTCTTCAATCCAATGCTCTAACAATGAGTTACCGAGACATTGTTTAATAAACACTAACTCTTCGTTTTGATTGATCCATATTAGATGCCTTTCAAAGCATGAGCCACAACATACTTGTGTATTCCTTTCGAGATTAAATAGGTGGAAAAGTGATCAATTAATATAGTCGAAGCACATTTCATATAGAAGTAGTATTTTTTAAAAACTTTCCCACTGATTACGGCTCAACGAAGTACGATGGAGAAAAAATGTTGCTGATAAAACTCTTCCTTAGGTGCCAAATGGAGTACTGTGTGTAATACTTTTTTCAGGGTAACGAAAAAACTCTGAGAAAAATTAACTTTAAGAATTTAAAAAAACTTAAAACTCAATTTTTCTCAAAATATTTCAGCAGTTGAAAGAGGGCAGTTTAGCCTACATTTTCACAATGAGAAAGGATTTTCGAACAAATTTCTGAAACTGATTTTCTAGGGAATCTCTGGAAAAGCAGTTTTTAAGTTAAAAATTTTACATAGCAATCTATCAATTTTTTGCATAACTAGATAGTCCAAGGTGATCACTACATAATAACGTCACTTAAAGAGTCCATAGAGACTAAAGGATGGACACATGAATCTGAGGGCTTTATATCTTATACATATTAACAACACATCTGTTACTGAAATCAATACAAAAGAAAATCTTAACAGTTTTGCGATGTAGACAATAAAACCTAAGGCAAATGCAGAAGAAAAAATATGGTAGACCTATCTAAGTCAAAACAAAATCTTGTAATAGTGTGCGAAACGGTGTCTCACGCCTTCTAGCTCGATTTAATTTTTCTGCTCACTGACATTTTGAGTATGATCATTCATCTGTTTATTTCCAGTGTTTAACTCAAGCGTACAATTTTCCAAAGATAAGAGGTTTGTAGAGAAAAAAATTCGTACGAGATGAGCTGTCACACGTTCGAGTATAATTTAAGGTTGATTTTACACATCATTCTATTTCAGTCATAACATAGAGCAAAACTTTTCTCTAATATCAACACTGGCCGAAAGAAAAAAGAGAAAAATCTTGTTCTATGTTATGTAAAAGCATGCTTAATCGAATGATGTGTAAATCAGCTGGGTGATTCTTTCGAGAGTGTATCACAATTACATAGACTTTATCCGAATTGTTCGAGGGTAACAAGACTAGTACAACTTGGGTTCCTAATGACGAATATCGCGTTTAAAAGATTCTAAAACAACGGTACGCTGGTCATCTAGATCTATTGGGATCGCATTTTCCAGCAGAACAGACCTTTTGTGAGTATGTTCACCATGTTTTAGTGAAACAAACAAACAAACACAAAAGACTTTTTTTTTCCATTGTGTAGCTCAGATCTAGCTCTTTCGTATAGTATATGAATAGAAATTCTATGTGGTGGATAAATATCAAAATTACGAATCGAACACCTACTGAGCGAAAAAAAGGATCAAAGTTAAAAAAGTTTTATCTTCGGTCTAACGACTTGAGATAAAAATCTGCTATTAACAAGGAATAAAGCTGAGACTTAGAACTATGGAACAGCAGAGAAAAAAATTTTCTAGCTGTTTTCTTTTGTGAGATAATGACATTATAAGCTATTGGTCTCCATCGTACGCATGCTTTTTTTACTGTATAGTATGGGTGGAAAGTAAATATACTTTTGAATTCGGGTTTAATGGGTCATAAAGAGGTTAAGAAACGAATTGATACATGCCCTTTTCCCCTTAACTAAATGTGGAGATTGTAAATGTACAATGCCTACCGTACGCCGTAGTTGTGGCCGAGGTAGTCGAAGCTAAATGTTATAATAAAATGTTCGATACAAGTTGTCTAATTGAGGGTACCATAGTTTCCAAATATTCAGAATTCTACCTCGCTTCGATCAGAATCCAGCTTTATTTCACATAATATCAAGCAGACCTCAACGAGGATGAGACAAAATCGAATGTGGACAAGCAAATAGTCTAATCAAATTAAGGGGGGGGGGGAACGTATAAAATCATCCAATCCGTAGGAAAATGTTTTTAAACTTCCAAATCGATTTCTGAGTAAGTTTGAATGAAAAATCGAATGAACATAGTTAGAGAACAAGCAACTCGTTAACTCAATGATCAAATTTTGAAAAAGCTCGAAAATCGGTGTTTCACATACCATTAGCTTTCTTTTCAGAACCTGAAGACAAAGGAGGGAAAGAAAGCCACGGACAATTTAAATGTTAGCCAATTTCTTTCTAAGAAAAACGGACATTTCAGAAAAAGGATTTCAAGGATACTCCATTGCAACTAAGAAATAAAATATCGAAGATAAATCATCCGGTTGATCCAGATTTTACTTACACATAGCTGGAAACGGATAGAAAAGAGTAGAAAAAATATTCTAAATAACAGAACAATTTACTCGTTATTTTCTTGCATTTGTGCCATAAACACTATAATACAGTTGAAGATAAACTGAGAAGATAAACACCCTTTCAGGCGAAAATTACAGTAAGAATAATCACTCAAGTATCAATTATCTCTTATTATTCTATCTCAATTATCTATTATTATATTTTGAATTTCCAACATCTAACACACCTTACGGATCAAGAAAAACATCAGCTTCGTCATTTATATAGCAGCAATTGCCTAATGCTAAATGCTTTCTCACTTCGCACAGTGGACAATTTTCACTAGGCACATGGTCTCGTGGCTCGCAAGCTAGAGGAAAACTTAAAATTTATAGGTTATCTTGTTGTTGCTATTTTTTATAGATTATTTTGTGTACTCTATCTAATGGAATGCTTTTCGAGTTATAAAAAGTTTTCTAAGTGGTTTGGTGGTAGATGTAAGGTTTTTACAATTATCATGGTCTGTTTTACTAAAAATGATTCCTCTATCTTCATCGCTTCATCTGTTTTCCGGCAAAAACTTACTTAACAATTTTCTCACTAAAAACGCTTCCAATGACATTAATTTTATTTCTTTAATCAACAGTACAACAAAAGCCTCCTTCGATTAAAGCTGATAAAAAAGGTTTTTAAACTTTCAAAGTATGGCTGCATAGGTTTTTCGGAGATCCACTCCCTGGAAATCCCGTATAAACATACTTTTCAAGTTTGAAAACCATGCCATTGAAAAGGGCTCATACGAAAATCTATAGAAAGAGTGTTTAGAGACTTTCGTATCACTTTTGTAGCACATGTCCACATGCCTAGCCGAAATTGATTACTGTGCTTGATTTACTTTACTTACTTACTGCGTCGTTGTAGTGTTCATACATATTCTGTCGCAAGAACGTCCTTCAATAAAGCTGATATATTCTCGTAGCAGAATATAAAAAGACAGTTTAGAGACTTTCGTACCAAGTTTCTAGCACATGCCCACGTACCATGTCAAAATTGTTATGTCCATGCGATAAAACCATCGCATTACACTCGATCGAAACATTTTTTGTTCAGAAGTACTTCATATGCTCACCATTCGATGTAGTTTTTTATGCTGACTCCAAACATGTTATTTGGTTTTAATAAAAGTGGTTCTGGACTGAGAATATTAGATTTGCTTAATATCTTTAAAAACGAGTTGGACCGAGAAAATGACGCTACTTTGCAACTCATCCTTTAGCTAGTCTTCCAAAACTTCGTTCTGAGCTTAAAAGACGCAGAATTTTCTCTACATTTTTTCTATGTTTGGACCAAAGTGGGAACCTCTCGAGATGATAAAACACTTTTTGCTCGGAATCCAGTGAGTTATACGTTATCGATCATGCTGATTCAAAATATGACCGTGGGGGTGATCTTTAGCTCTTCAAAGACCCGGTTTTCTAAAAAAGCAGTTTTTCAGAAACTCTAAAAAATAACCAAAATCTTTCTTAATACAGCATGATTGTAACCGCAAATTTCTGATTAAAATGAGACATCTCCCAGTTTTACACGATCTTTCTTTGCAAAGTTATAGAATTTACAAGAACTCCTACGTGTTCATTGCCAGCTCAAAGGTACAAAAATAATAAGAAGGAAAAAAATTAATTTAGGATTTCACCTCGAGAGGTTCCCTCGTAAGATGTACCCTAATCGTCGTTTCACTGTACTCAAACTATCGGAAGTCTCAAAAATCTCAACTGTTCACTACTTCACTTGAAAAGAAAAAGATTTATATCTTCGCAGAAGTGTTGTTGGGGCAATTCAAACACAGTGCTAAAACCTACAATAAATTCTTAACTGCTATGGGGTACAAAACCATATTTTTCGACAAAGTTTTAGAATCGTAAAGACAGACTACAACAATCGGATCATTATTTGTGTTTGGCGCCATTCCCTCTAAGGAAGATACCTCAACCCTGACGTACCGTATCAAAATGATGCAACTCATAGAAAGAAGTGCACTTTGTAGAGCTTGAAATTCTCCATGTTTTCATATAAGAACAATACTTTTGATAAGTCAAGACTTTGAAGAAGTCTCCAAAATAAATATACCTCGTTGGTCAAAGATGTCTGTTTGCTGTTTTCCATTTTAAAATAGTAACAACTAAGCGTATAAGAAACAATACACAGCTAGATACTCCGAAAAATTCTGCGTCTTTTAGGTCTTGAACCTAAATTTTTTGCAAAGCACTTACGAGGCAAAAATTGCATTTCGAATTTTTCAGATTTTGCACTTGAGCAGTTGGGTTTTTCGTGGCTTCGAGTACTTTTACTGCTGTACAAGAACGGGACATGCTTATTTTTAAAACAACGTATGAATAAAATCTAGACACACTTCTCTACCTTTTTGACATAAAAATGAAGTTTTCTGATCAAGTTTAACTTAAGAAAATTTTTGCAAAGTTTCTTGTATTCTCTCTGCTCAACCCGTTAACGTCATCTTTGCTCAGTTTCAACACTGTTCTAGACAAAAATCAATCAAAGGTTAAAAGCATTAAATATTAATTGAGATTCTTTAAAACATTCGTTTATTGGCGATAAGAACAGGTGGTGCCAGTTTCTTGTTAACATAAAAAATGAGGCGAAGTAGCAACTGAGTAGAGCAAAGCAAAAACGGTAACGTTATAAATGATCTCATCATTTTGATTTTTCTTGAAAAGTTTTACTTAAGACATATAAATAAACATACCACAATGTGTATTGACTCTAGTATTCGAGAACAGCAATACTTCTGATGAAAACTAATCATCAGAAAAATAGTTGATGAACCGTATGAATTGACAGGCATATGATTGACATTTATTAAAAATGCACAAATCTTGTATTACATCACAAGGCTTTTAAGAATCAGGCTAGTTATACTGTTTATATAATTTCTGAAAGAACAAAAATTCATATGTGTACCTTGTGCTAATCAGATACTTCTGAACTACTCGATGATGAATCTGATTTCCAATTTTTACTATCATCCATAACGATATTTGTATTCCCGATTCCCGTTGGTGGCTGATGATTTTTTGTCAAACCATAATGTTTCAATGTACGTTTACTTTTCAACACTTTACCTTTGTAAATAAGACGGCAACCTTGTTCATGTTGAGGGGGCAAACGTGATTTTAATTCAGCTTTTAATTCTGAAACAATCGACTTTTCGTCTACCGTTAAAAGTAACAATTCACCATCGGATTTACGAGTAATTGTTAATTGTACTTGATTGACAGGTGGAATAACAGTTGTTGAAGAAGACATTTGTTAATAAATACCTTGAGTCGAAAAACCGTTTGCTTGTCGAAAAACCGTTTGCGTACAGTCAAAAATGAAAAGCAAGAAAGAGTAAAATCAACTACTGTACGGTTGAATTATTTAGTTTCCTTTTTTGTATTAAGCATGTGAAAATAACGTGCAGCCAACTATTCTCTGTTTTGTTTAATTATCCACCTGTAATAGTACAAATAAATATCAAACGCACACGTGTCGTGAAATATTTATCCTGTTTTGTATAAACGCTTATTTCTCTTTCTTCCATTGAAACACAATATACTTTATGAAAAACCGATAATAGAACAATCACGGCAAATGTCGCCTTAGTCACGTAACTCTACTACCTAGTGTAATTCCGACACGTTTCTCTGCATTTTGTTTCTTCTATAATTCATGCATTTTTCAATGTATTTTGTTTATCTCTTTTTGTAACTCGTTTAACTGCATCGCGCTACTTACTGAAAAAAGGACGAGTATCGGTTTCTGCTGGAAAATGGTCCAATATGATTTTGAGTGAAAATAGTCGCAAATGCCTCCTGTTATACTTCCAGATGCTTCTGACTTTCAAAAATTGCTCCTGATCTCCTTGAAAAACTTATTTCTTACCAGTTTTCGTCACCAGTTCAACGAAGGTCATTCACTTTGTTTCTCAATGTTTTCGTAAAACTTCAAAGACTTTGGCCAAAGCCCATACATAGAAAGATAGACAATTTTTTGTGCTTCAAAACAAGCTACTGGCAAGGTTCTCAAACATATGCGCGCATAGAACAATTGTCAAAATTCTAGACAGATATCATGATTTTTAGCCACCCTAAAGAAATACTTCTTTGATGTTTCTACTCAGATCAGGAATATTTTATACATAGAAAGCTAGAGAATTCTTCGGGCTTCAAGATGAGCTATAAATAAGTCTTTCAAAAATATGACCAGGTGGGTCAGTAGTCGAAATACGTGACCGGTATAATGATTTTCACCTATCTTAGTGCTTTCATTAGAAAATTTGGTGCATGTTCTGCGCTGAACCAAATTGGGCGCCAAATGCAAAATTTGTCGGTGAATCCGACAGCGGGTTCCTTATAATTATATCTTCACTTCTTTTTTGGCGTTGACATAATCAACGTGGTTTTTGCCTAAATTTTATTTTTTTCCATTGGCGCCTTTTTTTTCAACCACTGAGAAAAATAAAATTTAGGCAAAAATCACGTTCATTATGTCAACGCCAAAAAAGAAGTGAAGATGTAATTATAAGGAACCCGCTGTCGGATTTACCGACAAATTTTGCATTTGACGCTCAATTTCTATCCAATTAGGTTCAGCGCGGAGCAAGCACCAAATTTTCTAATGGAAGGAATATTTCTTGAACTCATCTACTCCGACCCAGAATGTTTTATATATCGAAAGATAGGGGATTTGCAGGGCTTCAAAATGAACTATAATATTTTGTTTTAAAAGTTGGCCCTCATAGATTTATTGACTTGTTTTCCATAAGACTGCATAATTGAAATGGACGATGAAAAATCTGAATAGCTAGAGCTTGATAGACGTTTTGACGAGAGAAAAAATCAATATGTCATGATCGTTGATATTTTTCTGGGACAAAAAGAATTATAGTTTATTCGATTACATACAGTACAGGTTCACAAAATGCACAGATATATTTTACGTTTTCAAGTGATTGATACAAGAGTATCACGGACAAAAATTATGATAAACACGAATAGAAACTAATTTGTTTAGTGTGGATAAGGTGGAGGTGACGCAACATAATAAGCAGGTAACTGTTGTAAACGACTTCTGTTTTGCTGACGTTTGCAGACTGCAATAATAGCAATAATAATCGCAACAAACACTAAACTACCGCATACAATTCCAATATAAGCCCATGTTGTTAAACGATACGAATATTTATACGTATAACATAAACCGTAAGTGCCACACGTAGCATCATCTAAAATAGAGGGACAGTATTAGATAGATTGCTAACTCTATTAATTAATTTGCTCGACTACTTACAAGCACAGCAAAATGGTGACGAGGTATATTTGGCACAACATTGACCTATAAACATAAAATTTAGACGATCTATTATTGTTGAGCGCTAGTAATATCAGCATATTTTCATACCTCGACTTCCAAAATAGGCCGTTGAACAACTTCCACCTAAACAACAGAGATCACACCGCTGATCCGCAGATACTATGTATACCGATAGAACAATCGCTGAAGTTACAATAAATCTGTATATCATCTTTGAATCGTAATGTATCGTGAAGTTTTCTTCTCTATATTTGTTTTATTGTTTATTCTATAGGTTAGAGTTTTTATTCGTATGATATAGAGTTTTGTTGATAGTATGGGCGTTGAAAATGACGTCGTGTAAAAAGTTTTAATTGATAAGAAGTAAGAAATGTTAATACAAAAATTACGCAACTAAATGCAAAAGGTATACGGTATAACAACAAAATTATTTTTTCTATCGTCAAAACCATAATGAATAATTACACAAATACTGATAACTACGGTAGTTTATTGCAATAAAGCTGGAAGGATGTATGTTATGTTTTATGGTTTATTTATGATTCACATTTTTCTTTAGCCTATCGCATGCCGTTTCTTATATCGATATAAATCACAGAGATGGACTAGTCCGGTATTTTTCAGTCCAATCTCAGTCCGCCAGAGGTTAAGTTCGAAGCAATCCCAGTCTGCGCAGCTGTTAAAATTTTTCAGTCTTAGTTCAGTCCCAGTTCAAAAATATTCCGTCCAGAATCAGTTTGTGCCTGTCTTTTTTCTAATTCGCTTTCGTGATTGCATGCTTCTTTTTGGTATTTTCACAAATGATGAATCAATGAAAGATGAAAGAGAGAATTCAATTTCTTTTCTCTTTTCATTTTCTTTTCAAATTTGAACTGAAAAGATCAGTCACAACTTTAAAAAAAATCAGCCCAAGTCTCTTATAGCTTCAGTCTCCCTGTCGGTATGAAAAAACCTGTCCGTCCGAGCTTGAACTTGCCCATCTCTGCTAAATCATCAAATTAACCAGTTCAATAGATAATTCTGTATCAAAAATGGTATAATCATCAGAAAATAAATGTCTTTTTTAAATTTTAACTTACCTATTAATTTTGTGTAAAAACTATTTACCATCGTTTGATACGGCATTATTTGCATCTTAGAAATCCTCTCAAGTTCTTCTCGAAAACCTTTTTGAGAAGAATGTTTTAAAGATGTTTTAGGTTTGCCAATTTTATTAAAATATTTTAGAAGTCTATTAGTGTATATTAATTAAAATTAGAATATCAAGTAATATCATGAAAATTTTGAAAATGCTCAGATCCCAGAGATTTTCTGCAAACTCTTCTGAAATCCCTTTAACAATGTCAGAAAATTTTCTCTTACCCACATATAATAGAGGTATCCATAAGATACCTTTTTATATGATTAGTTTAATTTTAACTCCAATATTTATTTTGACAGTTGCAAAGCACTTACGACGCTTCTAGGAAACTTTGAAAGACAAGGTTGGAAAAGAACGAAAACAAAAGATTTTTTCCCGCTCTTGTATAGATTCGAACTAGCAAACCTTCTTCTACAAAATCCGAGAGAGATTAGTTTTTTCTATTCTCCCATTCCCAATAGGAAACGATTCTCCAAGGACGACCCTAACTCACGCTTTTTTTACTTATAATATCGACCGACCACTTCCTAAATAGGCTATCGACTATGCTGAATCGCGTGGGAAAATTAGTTTTCAGAACAAAATGCAGTAACTGAGTACCTCTACTACAAGAAGTAACCCATTTTTGATTATTTTGATCAAAAATTGAAAAACTCATAACTCAGTCAAAATCCATCCAGTCTATTTCAGAATGTCACGAAATACTCTATTTTATCTGCAACATACCGTAACACCAATAAAAAATATTCTTACTTTCACAGGTTTCTGAAAAATCTTTCTAGAAATCAAAGTATTTTCTGTTGATTTTTTCAACATTTATTAAGCTTTACAGATCTGCAAAAATCAACAGAAAATCTTGGTTTTTCTTTCTCTTATAGCAAGAGCTAGAAAGTTAACATTTTTTTCTTTGGTATTTTGGATTTGCTAAACTATGTATTATACGTTTCAAAAAATAATGCCCCTGACTATTTTTCGAATAACTTTTGATAGAAAGTAGGTAAAGAGACGGTGAAATTGAGCCGTCTGGCGAAAAAATAGTCTACTTTTTCAGCTCTCTTATATTGAGTGTAAAACCTCTCAAAATCTCCAAAAATAAATTTTTTTTTATTAAAATAAATTTTTAGATAAGTACAATGTGCTCTGTTGGATGACTGAATTACTTTTATTCTGCAGGATAGGGAAAAAACAAATTGTTTCTTTTTGTGTGCGGTCAGTCACAAGCGTTTAGTGGGTATCCGGAACTTTCGTCATAAAAAGGAACTTTCGTCATAAAAAGGAACTTTCGTCATACACAAGAGTTTGGTATGAACTTTCGTCATAGGAGAATTCAATGACGAGAGTTCATTGGAACTTTCGTCATAAGAAATTTTTATGACGAAAGTTCATAGAAAATTCATAGGAATTTTTGTCATAAATTAATTAATTACTCCATATTATCAGTTAAG